TTAATGCTTTTTTTACTTTAATTTTTATTTCACTTCAATATTCCCAGGCAATTTCTTTTGCCTAATGTAAAAAAAAAGCAAGTAATTAATAATACTACAGTAAAAATAAAAATAAATTTTAATTTAATAAAAACTTACTGCAGGTGCAATACTATTATTCCATAAATTTTTCCATAAAAGATTTATGAGAACAGCATCTAATTGGCCTTTATTATGAATTTCAAATGCTATTTTAGATACAATTTCAAGCTGCTCATTTGATGGATACTTAATAGTATTCATTTTTTCACTAATTGCTTTATGAATAGTTCTTTGCAATAAAAAAAATTATTTAATAAAAAATATATTAAATATGTAATATATTTTAATATATATACTAACATAAAACCATTGTTTTTTGTGAGAATATGTTTGGCTTGTAAAAGTTTTTTGCTATTGTTTTATAAATTCGTATATTTCAGCTTGTTCTTTCTTTATTTTATTAACTGTATCTGTAAGTGTATTTATAACTATATGAAGAGATTCAAGCGATCCAATTATAGCTTTTCATTATAACAGTTATCTATCATTATATATAATAAAGATTAAATTTGTAACCTTATATTAAAAATTATACAAATCTATAAAATAAATTTACCAGATTTAATTCTTTTTGGTTCTTTATTTATTTTTTTTTAATTCAGCAAGTCTTGTCTTTACCATTTATTAGATTTACCCTAAGGTATTTTTTGATTACAAATGTTACAAGTACAATTACAACTAACTACTATATATGGTATTAGCTCATCCAGTTACTAACTTGAATATCTATATACAACCTGCTATATGAGATTTTACCTCCTTATTAACCATCCCACACCAGGCCAGTTTTCAAACTCACTGGATGGTTCCCAAATCTATTTTTATCATATATATTCTGCTTATATACTACTGTACAATGTCCACCAACTAATTTTCACCCCTCATCACTTATCACATTACTCCTAATTTAGTTTTTGTATTACTTTCAAATTAGTGTCTTTCAAGTGGGTGCTCTTTATGCTTCCAATTTGGTGTCCCTGGAGAGCTACTTTAAGGACCTAATCTGTATCTCAAGCCAGGTGCTACTAGGTCATAAGACTCGTATCTCAAGCCACCTGCTGCCATACTAGGGTATTATTTCATCTCATCCAGGTATTCACATCATACATCACCAAATTAGGCTACTACTCCTTTTTTAGTACTTCCTATCAGTATGATATTACAGAAGTCTATATCCTTAGGATAGGAGTTAAGTACCTTATTTAATTACTGTCACAAGCCAGTAACCTGAGACCCATGCTTCTGCTATGTTTTATTATACTCTTATGACTCCTATATAGGTTGTGCAACACATTACTCCCTAGTCGTCTTTATTTTTATACCACCTGAGTGCTTGCTTCTATGCTTT